ACATTGGTGAATGCCACAAATTCTCCTAAATCACTCGTACGCACAATTTAAGAACAAATCTGTGCGTACGAACGGTTCTTGCATGAGGCCCATTGAATCTATATTTAAAGCCTGTTCATATTAGTTGAATCTCTATTATCTTTTGTGGAGAATTTGTTTGTAACATGTGAAAACCTTCTGAATTTAAAAAAAGATGCACTTTAGAATTGCAACAATAGAGTTTATGGTTTTGTTTTTTTTTTTGGTTGAGTTTTTAACATGAGAATAAGAAAAACAAGGCAGCAACAAGAGTTAAAAAAGTAAAGCACAAAATTCTTTTTTTTCTTTTTTGTTCCTATTGAAAGGAGCTGACGCACATTTGGAATGTAGAAAAAAAGGCATTTGCTAAATAATGTTTAATATGGGAACAATTAAATGACATGACTCACTCAGCTGTGTGCACTCTGTAAACCTACATTACTAAACCAACATATTTTCAGAAATCCCTAGAGATGAGACTACAGATATCCCTAAGATGTAAAACTGCTTTGAATTCAAAGAAGAGATCCTAAATTTTCACCTCGTATTTTTTTTTTATTTATACAGCATAATAATATCTCAACATTGAATTGCAACTTCAAGCAGGGCCTTCAACAACACAGTGCAGTTTAGTTCGTTTGATTCTAAAGAGGTATTGGAAATGTTGCATGCTTTATTGGCTTATTAAAAATATTTTTTGTAATAAGGCTGGCAAAGCATGTTGAAAGTACAGTGTATGGGAGGGCTGGACATTCATTCCTGTTGCAGAGAGAGAGAAAGAGAGAGAAAAAGGGGGGAGATGGAGGAAGTATTCAAGAGGGTGGGAGGGCAGTTGACACGGCTTTTAAACCAAGGGTGATCTGCTCTGCAATTTATTTTATTCATTTGTGATCTAGTGGTAGAAACAATGCATTAAGAAGCTCAATAATATTAGTCTTGTACATTTTAAAAGGGGAAAAACAGTAACATTCTCATTAGGAATGTGGATTTAATCAGTTTTGCACAATGATATCCACTGGTTGCTCATTTTTTTCAGCAAGGTAAGATTTGATTTTACTAAACATTTTTGCAATATTTGTGATAACATTTTCGCATGTATGTTCTACTATATAAATCTTTTAGTAATACATAAATGGTCATGTTTTATTTTCAACAGCAAGTGCTATGTTTTTTTTTCATTTTAAACTTAACCCAAACCAAGATGCCTGCTTGCCAGCAGTTATACAATACAATTTATCGTGATAGAAATGAATTATATTTTATAGTATAATATTTCATTCCACCAAATTGTAATCTACCCAACATCCATCGTTGTTGCTCAGATGCTTATTCTAGTCTTCAAGTGCACAAATTGGTTGATGGGGTTAACTTTTTCCTCAGAATATATAATTAACTCATTAAATTGGAAAATGTGTTACCATAACTAATGCTATGTTAGCTAGAAATGATCGTATCAACTATCAACAATAGCTGTATTTAACCTATTATTAAAAATTATTTTAGCTTACTGCACCCAGTATTGGTAAATATGCAATGCAAAATACAGTATGTGATAATGTTTTGTAGACAAAGCTAAGAATGAGCTCTAGTAATGCTGCTAGTATATGCATATGGCTATTTGGGGGATATTTTGTTATTTTCAGTATATAACTATCAGGCTGTGCAGATGGTTTTGGGTTTATGTTTGACATAACTTCAAAGGCAAGAATCATCTCATCATGTAATTACTGATCTGTCTTTTCAAAGCATGCTAATTACAGAGATCTGAGCAGCTGCTTGTATGTTCTTACAAGTTGTCACTGTAACTTAGACATCATTTAAAGCATCATTGTCTGGTTTCTACACTGCAACAGACACTATGGTTACTTATAGATGGTGTAATTTATTTGTGCTCAGACTGGCAGTCTAAGAAGTAAAGATTATCGTATCTGGTTCATTTGTCATTTTAAAAACTGTGTTTACTAAATGCAGTTAAGGAAGATRAATGAAAATCTATTTTATTTTAAAGTGTTCTTCTCTTCCACTAACCTTATCAAAATTACATATATACATTTGGTCAATTTTTGACAACTTAATTTGAAAAATTAAAACTATCATTTGCAGTAATGGGTATTCGTCCTCTTAGATTGTTTTTCGTCATGTATAACTGTTTACTTGCTGTAACCCAGGTAATTATGTAAAGATGYATATGGATTTATTTCACCATTACTTATTAGCTTAATAATTATACTTTTATGTAATTTCTCAAGAGATGTAGCAGAAAACCTTTGTTCTATCTACCTTTTATGAATAATCATGGCTTTCTGTAGGTGCTTATTCACTTGCAGTTTTAAGATGCTGAAATTTTCTTAAGCCACTCYATGGAAGAAGCATAGAACCTGGGGTCGGTCCATGTGTCGAGACAGCTGATCACGAGCACCACTTCTTCGGAATGTTTCCCAAAGGACACAYCAGTGGACATAATGAACCCTATGCTCCAGATCAACGTCCTCTCTCAACCAAAAGGCGAGAGCTGCAAAATCAAATATCACAGRGGCAAAATGCTGGACAAAGTCTGTGCAAAAAACTTTCAAAATCCCCAGAGGATGTAGAAGGTAATCCCTCTCATCATCTAACATCAGTCSATTCAACCAGCAACAAAGCTGGCAAAGCCACAGCTAGGGACGTTGGAAGTCTTCATTGCCAAAATAAGGGTGTAACTGGGGAGAATGCCATTTCCTGCACCAAAAGTAATGCAGAGGAAGAGAAAGAGGATGAAGAGCAAGACTCTAGTAACATAGTGGAACACATCCTGAAAGAGTTAAAGGGTATCAACAAGATCCAAGAGGAAATTTCTGACCTGAGGCATTATTTAACATCAGTGCGAGGCTCGGTGGATGAAGTGTCTTGCTGTGTTGATGCAGTGCTCAGTGAAATAGGTGAGCTTTATGGTGAGGCTTCAGCTGCACCTCACCCTAGTCCAGTTTCTCAAACACCACACATCAGAAGAGGAAGCCTTGGTAGACAGAATGCCATTACATGTCTTCATGGGAAAGACYTCAGCCCATTGTTGGATTGCAGAGATTTTGGAACAGATTTAGGATTTATTTCCTCTGCYAGATCAACCAAASGTTGGCAAGGCAWTGAAACCACTCTCAGGTCAGTCAGTCAAACGGATGATGATGTGTCAGAGCAGAATTCAAACATGGCTGTGTTAAGCCAAACAAAACCTGATCTCTTCTACCTGGAGCTTCACTGTGGCCAGAATTACCAAAGCACTAGCTCWTTATCTTCATGTCGTAGTTCTGATTGTCCTGAAGCAGGCTTTCTATCTAGTGACACATGGCCTTCTGTTGGTACACTACACAGTACAGGCAGAGGTAGAGGATGGAGTGAAGAAGAGATTTCATCTTGTRCAAATAGCAGAGAAGAGTTGGAGAATGATCAAGTTTGGAAGAGGTGCACCACAGAGGAGACACAAACTAGCACAGCAGGTCATTCCTCACACACCAGCTCAGAGCACCTTTCACTGTTGTTTGGACATCAGTACAATTCTCCTTCAAGCCCTTCCACTGTGTTGAACTGGAGACGTCTCACACATGACGCAGAGGAAGAAAACATGGAGTGTGATTGTGCTGCAAAATGCCCATTTTCACKTAACTCTGGTTACCACACAATGGATGTCTGTGTAAATAACCTTGGCAGTGGGCCCGCTCATAGCCTGAACTGCTCCACTGTACTGTTGACTGACTGTGATGATGTATACCTGGAGCCACATTCCCTTGGTGATGAATGTCCATCATCTGGGGACACACTTGACCTTGGGTCTTCTGACAGTTTGGACAGGGAGTGGACAGACCACAGCATTTCCAGGGAGGATGTAGGAGAGTCATTCTCACCAGAGTCTTCTGAAATAGATTTTGACTTCATCTCCAAAACCCCCAATGAAGAATTCAATGCAACAAGTTGTAATAGTGTTGCACTTACGTTCGGGTCTGCTTTGAACGGGGCTTTGAGAAAATTGGAAGTATCTACTGCTGAGGAAGTGAAAGATAATACTGAAATGGACCGTTCTTCATCCCCAGTCAGAAAATCAAGTGAATCTAAGGAAAAGCAGACCACTGCTCACTTTGCAGAACAGAATGTGGGTTGCAAAGAAAGAAATCACATTCAGTTAGCCTCACCAAAGGAGAACAGTGCAAATGAGAATACATCATTATCCCTTCATTCATCTCCCTTCAAACCAAACCACTCTCCTTGCACCCCAGCTGAGTTTCACACAACTGAGATTTCACATGCTCATAAAGAACTGACAACTGAAGGAGAACAGTCCATCTTTGTATCAACACCAGACCACAGCCCTGCAATCCAAACCGAACATTCCCCGGGCACAGAGCTCAGCACAGATGAGACAAGGTTGAGTCCAATCAATGAAAACGATCATCTCGCAGAGGGAGAACAAAGAAAGCCAACTGATGCCAGTCACAAGGAACGTATAGCTAACTTTCAGCGCATTCTGAGGGAAAAGAGACAAACTCGACAAAGACTTTCCAGATCAACTCAAGGCTCCCAGGGTTCTCGTGGGTCCCAAGTGTCTCAGGGGTCTCAATCTCAAGACGAGTTTATTCCAGGTATTTTAAATTATTTTATTAGTTCTCAAAAATACAGAAAGAAAATGCAATGATCAATTGACACTGTGTTTGCCAAAGCATGGGTATCTGTGTAAATAAGTGTATTTTATTTGCAATAAATATATTTTGGACAGATTAAAACAATTACGTGAATTTACACTATATGATTAAAAGTGCGTCTTGTGTTTTCTTTTTTCACCAGAATATGGAGGAGAAGATAATAAGGTTAATCATTTATTATAAGCTATATGTACATTTGGCCTTTTTTGTTTTTTTTATTATCATTTTTTTATTGTGAAATAGGTGTTTTTTTTATTCCATCACTTATTGAGGTGTTTGCTTTTTAATGGAAATACTTGTTTATCTTCAAGTAGGCTACAAATAATGCAAAAATAATGCATGGATAAAATATGCACTGTTCATTTATAAATCACTTAAGACAGCCTGTGCTACACTTTGCCATCTGTTTGCAGTATCTTTATACTGTAATACGTTAGTTAAATCTTGAGTCACTTATTTACTACTCAGTTATGTATCTGCTCTGATCTTTTTCAAACATTATCAGAACTCATCTGAGTGGAATTTTAAGTATTTTTTGTCACTAAACTTTCATATGGTTGCAAATGAACAGTAATAAAAGACTTGATACATATATGTAGTCTACCAGTAAAAATGTTTTTTTTTTTTTTTTTTTTTTTTTTTTTTTCCTTAAAAAGATTTGTCCAAAAAAAAAAAATAAGAAATTAAAATTTGGATCCCTCATATTTTCTTTTCTTTTAAAGATTTTTCTTAGTTTTTTTGTCGTTCTCAGTACCATTAATTTTGTTCACCACTTTATTCAATGCATTCTTTGTCAAATATTCTGGAATTAAAAACTCAAATCAGCATTTATTTGTTTTATGTTTTTTAGCATTTTATTCCATCACATTTTTTTTATGTAAACGCATGCTCTTTTATGTCAGAGAGGTAAAACTCAACCAGTACTCACTCTCTTGCTTTTCTTTTTCTTTTTCTTTTTTTTTGTTGTTTTATTTGTGAATCTCTGATGTGTCATAAATAAAATTTTGTAGGTCCGAGATGTGGAACCCAACACTCGACAGGCCTGGGTCAAACCAGGGTAAGTTATCTACTAACGGCGACATTTTATCTGAAAGATTTAATATGCTGTGTATCTGTTATAAATTTTGAACAACTTAATTAAATGCCTAACTGTAATTCCATTGGGAATGTAATGCTGAATATTGTTTCAATGTTTAATTTCTACATATTTTATTTTGCTGCTTAGTAGTGGATCTGGTCTGTATGGAATCGACAGCATGCCAGACCTGCGTAAAAAGAAGCCCATCCCCTTGGTCAGCGATGTGGTCAGTACAAATCTCATACCAATAATCTGCACATTGTCATCTTGTGAGTTTTGTACTGTCTTATGTKTGCACATCTCTTTCTATTTATTAAACCACTACAGAATTTACAGTTATGCTTTTATCTTTAAGATAAATTTGGGATGAGATTGTTATCAGTCCGATATTGAATTAGAATGCTAATTTCTCTCTCCCTCCTCTCCTAAACCTGAAACTATTTCCCACAACTCTCTTGAATGCATTCACTCTTCTTGGTCAGGCTATGGTAAGTTATAGATTGCAGTTGCCATTCCCTTTTCCCACTGAAGTGCAAAATATCAAGTAGGGTAACTTAAACAGTAGTTGCAACTAACATGTATGTCTGAGGCATGGTTATCTGTTTGAATGCACAAATCAYATTCAATACATGAAAAAAATGCATGCATTATTTTGATTTGGGTGTTCATTCTACCTACTTGATATTACTTTTAAAATTTATAATAATCTAATCTTTCCCTCACCTTTTGGTTTTATGTTTTTACCCATTGTTACTAAAGAAAAACCTTATGTCTAATTTAAGAGTAAAGCACTAACAGTGTCCTGTACTGTTTTGGACTACAGTTGTCTAATTTTGTCATATTGCTTTTCTGCTTCTTAAAACTAACAGTACTCACTTGGGTTTTCAGATCATCTTTAACAAGTTCACTAACAAGAAACCCAAACTATGCTAACCTTACTCAGAACTTTTTTAACCATTTTTACCATCTACTGTTGTTGCAATATTATGGTGGTGCTCCTGGTTTTGGGTAGGCTATAATTTGCATATGGAATGCAAATTTAGGCAAATTGTTCTTGTTTTTTCCTGCTCAGTCCCTTGTGCAAGCCAGAAAGGCAGGGATTGCCTCTGCTATGGCTGCTCGGTCCTCATTCAAGGATGAGGAGATGGTAAGTRCAACTTTTAAAGTATTAAATGTTTTTAGAGAATGTTTTAGTTCCTATTGAATGAATCAAATCTAAAAAGAATTATTTGTTTTGARGAAAGTTTTTCTAAACTGAATCAGCAACTTCATGCACTTGTAAACATTTATTTTTTTTCTTTCGTAGAAAAACCATGTGTACAAGAAGACCCTGCAGGCTCTCATCTACCCAATATCCTGCACTACACCACATAACTTTGAGGTGTGGACAGCAACCACACCTACATACTGCTATGAGTGTGAAGGACTGCTATGGGGAATTGCTCGCCAAGGCATGCGTTGTTCTGAGTGTGGGGTCAAATGCCATGAGAAGTGCCAAGAGCTACTAAATGCTGACTGTTTACAACGTAAGTAGCGTTCAGAATATAATGTGAGGTTGGCAGGATTGCATTAATAGTTTACTAAAAATTGTTTTCAATTTTTTTTTACCCAACCTAATAAATATGAGAAACTTAAATCTTTTTTGTCAACTGATTTGTGGCCAAAATAAGTATATTTTCAGTCAGTTGTGTCACATGTTTAGGCGCCGCGGAAAAAAGCTCTAAGCATGGAGCTGAAGATCGCACTCAGAATATTATCATGGCCATGAAGGACAGAATGAAAATCAGGGAACGGAACAAACCAGAGATATTTGAGCTGATCAGAGAAGTGTTCACTGTCAGTAAAGCCATTCACGCACAGCAGATGAAGACCATCAAACAAAGTGTGTTGGATGGTACCTCGAAGTGGTCAGCAAAGATCACCATCACAGGTATTCCGCTGATCAAAACGTATACAAATTTTAAAAAGYATACCTCATTTTCACTCCTTGCCCTTATGTCTTGTACAGTTTTACATATTGCTGCTATGGTTCATGGTCATTCCTTATGTATTTGTGTTTTATCACTGTTTCAGTTGTTTGTGCACAAGGACTTCAGGCGAAAGACAAGACTGGATCCAGTGATCCATATGTGACTGTTCAGGTTGGCAAGACTAAGAAGAGAACCAAAACTATTTATGGGAACCTTAACCCTGTTTGGGAAGAAAAGTTCCACTTGTAAGAGATTTTTTCCCTTTTCTTTAGAAAATGTATAACATTTTGTTTAAAGAAATAAAACAACTTTTTTTATTCTCTCATTTCTTGTTTTTTTTTTTGTTAGTGAGTGCCACAATTCTTCAGATAGAATCAAAGTGCGTGTTTGGGATGAAGATGATGACATCAAGTCCAGAGTAAAACAACGACTGAAGAGAGAGTCTGATGATTTCTTGGGTCAAAGTATCATCGAAGTTCGAACGTTGAGTGGAGAAATGGACGTCTGGTACAACCTGGGTCAGTGTGATTGATCTACAGTATGTCTTCTTTTCAAGGGTGTAATTTTAAGTCTACCGTTGCGGGGTTAAACTCTCTGCCTGTTAATTTATTACATTATTATTATTATTATTATTATTATTATTATTATTATTATTATTATTATTATTATATTGATTGGATCAAAACATTGTGAGGGTCATAAAACCCCTGCAAATTATACATATGCTTGGTTTTGCAATTAGGGTGCARGCAAGTTTGTTGTTAGTTTAAAATTATGTACATGTACATTTTGCAGCTCTAACTTTAAATCTGTGGCATATGCATTTACAATACAAAAAACAGCAATCATGTGCGTAGAAGTAAATGTCTTGGATGGGAAGTTGCTTTGTTATTGGCAAACCTATTGCTTTCACTCAAATGCAAATTCCTAGCCTTGACAATATGCTTTTTTTCTGCAAGAAAGATAGTATACAGTATAACAAGAATATACATATTTTTAAAGGCTGGTGGAGATATTACTCCAAGAAATGCTGTATAAAGATGGGGTCTMTTGCATGTTTTACTTTAGCTACTTTCTGAAATGACTCCTCTGCCTGCAGGCAAATCCTTGGCAATGATCTGGATATTATTGGCTTGTTTCATTCATTTCACACCTGTTTGTTTTCTTCTTCCATTTTGGTGCCATATGTTTTTGTTGCAAATTCAAATCATTGAGGCTGTTGTTGGACCTCATTGGTCATGTCTTTTTCCCTGTAGCGAGTATTTTTTTTTTTCCATGGAAGAGGATTTTTCCTAAGGCTTGTATTAGTTTAAATAACAATATACTTGCTTTTCTACTAGTGTACTTTATTAAATTGTAAATTGCTCCTATCATAGAGCTGAGTTGCCTTAATAAGATTTTTCCTATAAAACTTTTTTTMTACTGGATTATATGATCTGTTCACTTTCAGTTTTATCCTGCAAACATTTAAAAAGTTGAGTGTTTATAAAACAGTCTTGCAAAACGCACAGCTCAATTTATTTAGTTTCTTCTGTCTGTCTTATTCCAGGCACTTTTCCTGCTTAGCTCCTCCTTAAGTTGTTTTAATCCTGATRCAAGATTATCAAGTGGCAGCTCTTCAGTCGGAAATTGACCGTTTGGTCGACATGCCCAAATTACACTTAATGATGCCCTCTGTCAAGGCTAATAGTAGGGCTGAGCCACCAAGCCCACCACCTCCAGAGAAGCTCCACTTCAAATGCATTTGGCAGTCTGGCACAGATCCGCACAGCCTACTGCCATTGTCTTGCTCACTATCAGCTGCAGGACTTCTATTAACACAGCCGGCTCTGCACTGCCATCAKGCTGTAGAAACAAAATCCCCTACAATAGAACTGCCATGTTAGGAACCTGCAATTAGTGTTGTGATAACAGATTTAGTTTAACGTGCGTACAAGGATTTGGATCTGAGTTATGAATTGAGAAGGTGCAAGTGTGAATGCATGTGTCTGATTGATAATATTTGCGTGGAATTACAGAAAAGCGGACAGACAAGTCAGCAGTGTCGGGTGCCATACGCCTCCAAATCAATGTGGAGATCAAAGGAGAGGAGAAAGTGGCTGCTTATCACGTGCAATACACCTGTCTGCATGAGGTAGACTGAGTGTAAAATGCACTACCTTACACATTTCACATATCGGATCTATAAAGCTGCTGTCATTTTTCCAGTTTGGTCTCTTCTGTTGCAACGATTCAATGTCAGTTCATTAATATCAGAATCAATATGTCCATTGCAGAACCTCTTCCACTATTCAACTGATGTGCTCGGTCAAGGTGTGGTAAAAATCCCAGAAGCTCGTGGAGATGATTCATGGAAAGTCTACTATGATGATGTGGCACAGGAAATAGTTGATGAGTTTGCCATGCGTTATGGGATTGAGTCCATTTACCAGGCCATGACGTAAGTCTCACATATTACAGATAAAGGGATTGTCTCTATAATGGTCTCCCAATCTGTTAGTGTGTATAATCTCTACCTCTGTCATTTTRAAGTCATGATGTGTGCTCAGGTACATTATTTAGACACATCATTCACAATAAGCACACTTCAGTGAGCTATTCTCCAGCCGGAATTACCTAATAGATAAAGGGTAAATGTAGATGCCATACCTGGTAGGACTTATTGGGCTGAAATAAGACAGTTGAAAGGGTGCAGGCTTACCTTATTGATACACTTCGAAGAGTTACTTAAAAACCTATTATATGTAATATATGTAAATGCAGACAGATATAAATATGTGACGAGATATGCTGGCAGTGTCTTCACCAAGCTCCGATTGTGCCTTTATTTTCAGGCACTTTGCCTGCTTGTCAACTAAGTACATGTGCCCGGGAGTTCCTGCCGTGATGAGCAGCCTGCTGGCTAACATCAATGCCTTCTACGCCCACACAACTGCATCCACCAATGTGTCCGCCTCTGACCGCTTTGCTGCATCTAATTTTGGGGTTTGTACAGCTGTAACACATATACAAAAACAACACTTTTATTTCTATCACTGTCCAGTCATTGTAATTCTGCAAGAGAGTTCACAGGTTCACATATTTTTTTCTTTCTTTCATATACAGAAAGAACGCTTTGTCAAGCTTTTAGACCAGCTACACAACTCCTTGCGGATTGACCTTTCTACATATCGAGTAAGAGTCTGAAAATAACTCATGCCAAATCTTGTCACAGTTTTATGCTAACCTATTTCCTTGGATAAAATTATTCACTGCAATAAAATAACTTTCTCTTTTTTGTCATTTTTATGGTGGATTGCATCCATTGTGTTGCATTACTGCTTCCTTGCGATTGAATGCCTACATTCCTGAAAAGGAAGTTTCACAGATGTGAAATGTAAACCTGTCAACATATGTTTGATCACTCTGTGGCTTTCTCAAGGACCAGGATGTGTGACACAAAAAATGAATAATAGAACTGAAAGTGAAAGCAGTGAAACAGAATTTTTATTACAACAAAATAGTTTTAAAGCAACTTTATTCAGATTCAAACCTCAGTTTCAATTTAGTGAAATTCAATTTCAAAGTAATGCATTTACTGTAATTCCAATGCATGGGAATTCCCTGTCAGAAAGTGGGAGAGTTCAGAATTCAAGACTTATCCACAATTCAATAGTCACTAAAACTCTTACTTTTAATAGTATTTCTGTATTGCATATTTCTCATTTAGTCAGTTTTACATGTAGTACTTTTCAATTTACAAAAAGATGAGTTAAAATACTGTTTCTATGCAGGAAATACCACATAGAGCTTGTTTTTTAATTTGTTAGCAGTGCTCAGCTGTAGCAATGAGACGAAGAAAGTTAATTACAACTGGCCTTTGAGGGCCACCATAAAGCAAATGTGGCCCTCAGTAAAAATTTATTTGACACCCCTGCATTAAGTCATAAACATTATTTAAATTGGATTTATAGAAAGAGTAAACCGTTTCTTTTTCATCCGTAGAACCACTTTCCTGCCAGCAACAAAGACCGCCTGCAAGATTTGAAATCTACGGTGGACCTTCTGACCAGTATCACCTTTTTCAGGATGAAGGCAATGGAATTTTCATGCTTTGTATTTGTCTTTGTTCTAAATGATCTTAGTTGTATATTTCACACAAATATATCTATTGTAAAACAATAATTGCTTATGATATGATGTAATTTACTGTTGAAGCTAAGAAATACTGTAGGCATTGATCAATTCTGTATTTGGCACTTCAAAAATATAAATTTGATGACATTTCCACTCAACAGTTTTGTTCAGTGTTGGTATCTCCATGTGGTGTTCAGGTCCAGGAGTTACAGTCTCCACCCAGAGCCAGCCAGGTTGTGAGGGACTGCGTCAAGGCCTGTTTCAACTCTACATACGACTACATCTTCAATAACTGCCATGAGCTGTACAGCAGACAGTATCACCCTGCAGAAACGGTGGGTTAATACAACTGCTTTRTTATTTTCTTCTAAATCGTATACATGTTCAGAAACTAATGAGGATAGATTGGAATGAATTGATATATAGACATTAAMATCAACTCCCTCTGCACTGTTTTATCTAGAACAAGGAGGAGTTGCCTCTGGAGGAGCAGGGTCCAAGCATCAAGAACTTGGACTTCTGGCCCAAGCTCATCATGCTTATTGTCTCCATCATAGAAGAAGACAGGAACTCCTACACACCTGTGCTCAATCAGTTAGTCAATCCACCTGAGAAAAAAAAAGC